ATTTTCTTCAGAAATTTGACAATTGAGACCAATATTGTTTTGATCATCTTTAATGGATTATATATTGGGACATCGATAACATAACTATAAATAAAGTTAAGGTCTTGTTCTTGTGTATCAGCTGAATCCGTTGAAATTGTAGATTCGATATTCCTTTCAATTTCAATAGTAATCCTACTACATAATCCCCAGCAACCATTATGTACAAGACCAAATGGACTGATGAACTTATCACCTAAGTAAGCAAACTAAATAATGTTTTCAAGAAATTGATTATAATAAAATAATTTACCAAATAAAAATACGTAAATAACCATAATAATGGAATAATAGCCAGCAATAACTCCTATGATACTTATAACCTATTTATCCAGATGAATGAGTTAATAATAATAATTACTATATGTACTGTACTTAAATGAAATACTCACGGAACTGCTCCTATTATAAATTATTGTGGTGGCTGAAGCTGAAATTGGCTGAAGCTGAAAATTTGACCTATTTTATTATAAAAATTTAAAAATTTTTGGGGTACATTTTTTTGACTTTTTTTTAGGGTTAGGGTCAGCTTTATGGGTAGAATTTATAATAAACATGTATAAGTGGGTTTTAGTAGGTTTTATGGATCTAAATTGAGACCCCAAATTTTCAGCTTCAGCCAATTTCACGATCATCCCCCACAATTATTATTATAAATTTTAAATAATTTAAATAAATACAAGAATAATATAAATAATTTTTTTACCTTTGTTCTTTTAACACTTCCACGATAAGGGTTTTTGGGTCAAGCTCTATAGCTATATTATGGTCAGTATTCGGTTTCAAGGAAGTATAATCTATTATAATTATAGTGTAGTACAAAATCATATCAGCATATTATAAAAATCACAAAACATAAAATATTACATACACATATTTGATTCAATGAAATATTGTGTATCGGATTTTGATGGGAAACCAATGTAACTCAATACTGGCTGAGCAATCGTGATTCTTTTTTTCTAGAGAATATTAAATAATGATACTATTGATTTATTAGTAATGGATGGTATATTTAAAAGAATTAATATTTGTAACCATAGGTTACTGTAACCGTAACTACAGTAAGATCAAGTGTAACGTGACTATCAAAACAAATATTTTTATAAAAACGGTAAGGAAATTTTCTGTTAGAACGTAAAAGATAGTTTTATAATCAAACTTTTGAGTTACTAATGATTTTTTTAAAAGAAAAGTTTTTGTTTTGATTTCACGTACCACCTAATCTTAGTTACGGTTACAGTAACCGTGGTTACAAATTTATTAATTCTAAAAAATTTAATATTCCTAAGATATTAAGTACATTTTATGGGGATAAATAATATTCGTTTGTATACTTAAGTGTTTTATCAAATGGAGATGATAATGAATCGGTGAGATCCCCTTTTCTCCACGGATCATAATCTATTAATTTTGTTAGTCGACATCTTTTTAAAGACAAAGATTTATAATAAACTGCATGAAAAATCTTACCTCGATCAAACGTATACATCATCATGGTCCACATTCCAGTTGATGCCTGTGATATTTATTCGAATTTCAACCCATTGAAATTTAGTTACATTCAAATCAAAATTGTCTTTCGGCAAAAATTTTCCAAGTATTGGGCGACCATTATCACCAACATGATCATCAATATCTTCAATAACAGGCTGTACAACAGGCTGTATAACATGTTCATTACAAGGTGTTGCTATTGAATATTATAGAGTTAGATATTTATAAGCAATGAAAACAATAATATCATAAGAGTTCCGTAAAGTGAAAATCTATAAATCTGGTTTTTCAATCATAATATAATGAATAACTAATGCAATGACAAAAATATGTCTTCAATTACTTATTATTGGATTCTTATTATTAGATTCTCGGGTGCTATTAAGATGAAAATAAGAAATCAGATTTATAGGCTTTCCTCAATGATCCTCACATAAAACCATCTTACAGTGATTTAAACCATTAAATAAAAGACAAAAGATAGTAAAATTTTTATCACAGGAAAAATATAAATCTAAATTGATTTCAATTCTAATATTAGATACTTGTTAACGGGTACTACAGTATAGAATAAATTATTTAATTTAAATTTAAAATAATCATTTTACCTGGTACAAGTATCATTTCATTCGATGTATAAGTGCTACTTATGTTAGGTTGTTCTTCAATCAACTTAATAAACAATAATATAAAGAAACCGGCTAAAACTACTAATGAAAAGGCAATAAAAATGCGTCGAGGCACTAAAACTGATGCCGGTTCGGTTTTTTTATTCTTACAGTATTGAAACATACTAGGAGCGAAGTGATATTGAAGATTTCACCAAGTGTATGGTTATGCGTCAATTTAATGGCGTCGGTCTACAAATGATTGGATTTTATATAGCATTATGTAAAAACGTGAGTGCAGATTTGTTTGTGTACTCAATTGAATATGATAACGCAAATGTCTAATCACGTATTTCTTTAATAAGAATAACCATAACTGATTTTCTAAAAATAATAAAATGGATTAGGCGCTGCAAAAAAAGAGAAATTGGCAAATTTTTAAAAAATATTTTTTTTTTTTTTACATAAAGCATTTCAGAAAAAGATCAGCACCATTCTTTTTTACTTAAGACACTAACTCATTTGTATAATAAAAACTTGCAGTATGGTTCTTTGAAATCAGTATTTATAATTTATTATAAAAAATACAATCATAAATGGATTTATGATAAAATAAATAATACGTAATAATAACTGCATTTATGTTAAAATAAATAATACGTAATTATAAAACATTATGGGTTTCACGCGCATTTTATCTCAACAAAAAAATAGACATATATCTCCACCCGAAAATGATATTGTCAATCGGATCCTATCATTTTCCCAACAACCAGTTTCAAAAATCCCGACAAGTTAGCAAACATTAGGTTAGGGTTTGTGTTAGTTCTGGTCAATTGTGTCGGGATTTTGTTTTTCGGGAAAATGATAGAGACCCATTGTCAATTCATCATGATTAGGATCATGATAATATTTGAAAATATTAATTTGTTAGTGATTTTTTTTCTCCAAATCTTCAAAATGAAAAGCTATCGTTGCAATTTTGACAAACCAAGTGATCCCTTTAAAAGCATAAAATCCAATAAACTTAATATTCTAAAATTATGCATTGATTGCCATGACCAAATTTCATTAATAAAATTATCAAAACCAATCAAGAAATGAAATTGCATTGAAAAACCTGTAGGACCTGTAGGTTTTATTTTTAACGCTCTTCCGGAAAACCATAACTCTGATTGTATTGAGCAAAAAGTTTTTATAATTCAGGATCTAGGACGTAACAAAAAAAAATTATTGAAACATAAAAACATAATGAATCCAAATAGTAACAAATGGCTCGATAATAAAATATATTAATAAAACCTTTAAGCCATTGCATAAATTGAGAATTATAATCATTTTAAAGGCAATGGAATATTCCAAATACGCACTTGGAAAAGCCGCTATTCATAATACTTTTCTGGCTGTAATAAATACTAGGTTTATTAAGTTTATTTAAATAAATGAAATGATTAACTATCGTTATTATTTTGTTAGTCTAAAATTTTTTTGTTGCTCAGGTTACATGAAGTTTTAGTGCTCGATATATTTGTCATGTGACGTTCAAAACTTTTTTGGGTGACGATTTTACCCGGTCGTAATTTTGACCAGAGTTCATAATGCGGGACGTAATTAAGAAGAATCATAAAAAGTCCAAAAGAAAATAAACACAAGGTTGAGACAAAATTTGAGCAAATCTTCAATAAATTCCGTAGGGAAAATTAAGGTCACATAAAGTTGATTTTTCACTTTGTATAACCCAGTGTTTCAAAATTCCAGTTGATGGGTCGGATTTTATTTTTTAAATCAACGTAAATTAATAGACTAACGTGCATATCTAAGGCCATGAAAATTTTATTTTAATTTAATTTTTATTGTAGTTTTGATAGCATGGAATTAGGAAATTGGGTCAGTAGTCAAATTTTTTTTCTATCGGCCCTATCGGATAATTCTGAGAAATTAAGGTCTCCATCGGATGACGCAGGATAAATTCATGAAAAAAATAATAATAACTAGCAAAATGGGACTTAGTTATTACATTTTCCCAACCTATAATTTAGAGATAGTGCTTTCTAAATAAAATGAAATACTACTGTATATCCGATGTTTTTATATTACTGTTAGAGACAACCCACGACTCAAGATCGCCAAGAAATAGAGAAAACAATCGCGTATGTACAGTAGTCACCAAAAGTAACGCCCGATTTATTAGGTAAAAATAAAATTTTTATTTATTTTATTTTTGCATTA